GGGGCTGGGCCCGGCGCCGTGGTGGCGCGCGCCACCCGCCGCCCCGCCCCGCCCCGCCCCGTCGTGTCCTGTCCTCCCGTCCTGACTGAGGCGGGGGCTTCTCCTCAGCGGCCGTCCCCGCGGTCTCTGCCGGCCCCGGTCACCCCCGTGGGGTCCCCCCGCTCTTTCTCCCGGGTCCCTTCGTGTTGTGGCAGCGCCTGAAGCGCCCGGTGGGGCTGAGGGTGGAGATAAAACCCTCCGTGTGGCGCCGGCGGAGCCGCCGTGCCGCGGGGACGGTCCCCTCAGAGGGACCTGCTGGCTGAGGCGACCACACACCTGGGCTGAGGCGGACCCAGCCCGGCAGCTTGCCTGGGGCCAGGGCGCGGCGGGTCGTTACTATCAGAAAGACAAAATGACGAGACGATGCCTCATCTTTTTTGTTCCTATAATAATAATAACCCGCTTGGCGGCAAGGACTGGCAAACCGGGAGCCGGGCCTGGTGGCCTCTGGGCTGTACAAGTGCAATAGTGGGCAGCCCTGGTCCAGGTAGCTCAGGCTGAGAGTAAGGTACAGGGCAGGGGGGTGATGCACGGGAGGTGCAAAGGCTGTGAACGTCGGTACTGGGCTTCTTGGGATGTGGGTTTGTTGCAAAAGGGTGGAAATGGGCAAAGTGGAAGGAAAAAGGAAGCAATTAAAAAGAAGAGGTACAATGAGGAGGACTGAAGCTAAAGTAAAAACTTGAGTGCAATGCTGTCTTTTCACAAAGAGTATCTGTAGGATCCCGTTTCCTTGGGTTTGGCACAAACAACCGAAAACGTATGGTCTAGAGACCCTCCTCAGTGTGCTTGCTGTCCCTGGTCCTTTTCGAGGTCTGTATTAGTGCTGTCTGCTCGTTTCATGCCCTTTTTGTGTGTTCTTTTCATACATGTGTGGGTGGACACCTGAAATGCAGTCGATGACCTGCTGCCTGCCTCTGTGCTCGGTTTCCAGAGAAACCTGCTCAGAACTTGCAGTGATTGTGGATTTCTGCTGATTTAAGAGCCACCAACCACAGGGACGTTGCACTGTCCTTTCAGCTCCTCCAGTGAGGTCTGTGATTGTCCAGAGATCAAACATGTATTGTGGCAGGCCTTGATAATCTTGAAGTAGAATAATAAACTAATAAACGTAGTATAAATGTCGCAGGAGTGTGTTATGTCTGTGTTAAATTTTCCCTGGATTCTAGCATTTATCTACAATCCTGTGTGACGGGACCTTATGTTACAGGAAGCCTGCAGGATTTTGGATTACAGAGAAAGAGTCACATCTTGGGTGACAGCTTTAATTCTGCGCTGGATACATGCTGAAACTTTCCAGTTCACCACAAGGTTGGAGTAGTCCCTACCAGCAAAATTATTTTCCCTTCCCATGTGAAAATAATCCCTCCACCTTTGCAGTTACTCTGTCGTCTCAGCTCAGTTTATCACAGAGCCACCCCTAAGATGTAGCTGCATTTATTTAGGGCTTGCTCTGCTCATTACATCAGTCTTTGAATGGAGCACGCTCTGCGTGTGTGATGTAATGAGCAGAGCAAGCCCTAAAAAAATGCAGCTATAACTTACCCCTTCCTGCTCAGGGGAAGCTGAGGTGCTGACACCCTCCTGCAGACCTGAGTGGATCCAGACTGGAGGGTGCCAGTGTGCTCGGGGGGTCACGAGGTGCTCAAGGAGATTGACAGATGTCAGTTGATCTGACTAAAAAGCTAGGGGACTGCTGCTGTTGGTTGCAGGTTTGAGCCTCACCTGTGTTTTGCACGTGGCCAGAGCAAACATCCTGGTCTGCGCTGCTAGCAGGAATGGTCAGCTTAAAAGCAGGTGGTTCTGTGGATGTCACCCTTATTTCCTTTAAGTAAAAACATTTAAGTAAAAACACTTCAACATTTGTAGGACTGCTTGTGTCAATCCTAACATTCACGAAGAGGTACTTAGAGAATACGTCTTAATTGTAAATAAACCTTAAAACTCTTCATTTCACTCCTGAGATATAAGCCTCAAAAGAACAGAAGAAAGCTCCTAATATCACTCGTGGATATTTGCCCTGGGCCATAACTTTTCAGCCTCACAACATGTTCGTTAGGGCCGCAGTCTGTGTTTCTGCAGGTGCTGTGCGTACAAAGGCAGGAAATGTTGTGCATTTCCCACCCAGAGCCATGCTGGCCCTGGGAACAGCCTCGCACGGAGGGATCACCAGACCTTTATTCAAAGCTTTCCTACCTCTTCCCTACACCTCTTGACAAGGAACAATTCTTATGCCTATTGAGGCTGTATATAATTATAGCCTCAAAAGATTTCTTGCAAAGTCTTCTAACTAAGACATGCTAATTATTAATATTCATTCAAGAGATCTGTATTTTCTTTAAAACAGAAACACAAAAGAATTTCATTAAACACAAATAATGTGAGTGTAGCACGACTGGCCATACAGCTGGTTCTAGCAGTATTTAATGTTGTGCTGTTACAAAAGATTTCAGAATTACCTGTAATCTCTTTCCACCTCCTGGGAGATTATAGCTGTTCATATAATCTCATTATTTCAATCACATCTTTGTGAATAAAACCAAAGCAAGGTAAGATAACAGTGGTTTGGGTTTTTTTAAACTAGAACTAGAGAATTTGTTTATTATAGTGGATATAATTTTACTTGCTAAGAATGGAAACTGCAGATTTTAATTAGATCTGTCACTTTTAAAAGTACTCTAATTTCTGAGTTAGGAGTCATAAAATAAAAAAATCACATAATATATATCACAGTCTATGGTCCTGAGTAACTTAAGCTTCCATATCCACGTTCTTGGCATTCATTTTATTTAACTATCAACTTCTCTTGCAGTTTTCAGGCTTTTTGCAATTTTTATTTCTACAACAACTAAAGCATGCTCCAAAACTTGATTTCTTGAAGGAAGAGAGTCAAAACATCTTTATAAATGTTCATCCATTTAACTTTGCACTGAGTTTTCAAATTGGTGGCCTCCTTAATATGGATCCTGCAAAAATTAAGAGGATGTGCACTAATCTGGAAAGGCTTCCCAGAGATACCTGTGGAAAACTGTAGACCTAAGTCAGCTCTTCCTGCTCCTGAAGCTGGGGACACAGGGGAGGGACAGCTGGAAGGGCAGCAGGGGTTGTGTCTGGTAAGGCTTTGCTGGCCAGTGTCCGTCTCTGCCTCTAAGAGCAACTCCTACAGAAAAGACATTTTATAAATCCAGTCTTTGCGCATTACATGTCCTGTCTGGATTAAATGTTTATCTTGGGGGAAAAATATAGTTAAAATTCCCTCATTATGAAAAGATATATAGGAATAATATACCTTGAGGTTTCATTTTTTTCTGTCTGACTAAAATGTACCCCTAAGGATCTGCACCCATTGCACCCAGTGGACAATCAAAGACCTTACTGGACTATTACAGGAGTGCAAGTTCTTTTAGCAGCTGGATAAAGGATTTAGAGAGGGAATTTTAGGAGCCCTGAAAAGCTCTGGCAGCTTCCCACCCCTCGGCCCCGGATGGCGAGAGGGGCTCTGAGCAGCCGGCACTTGGGGCTTCCCACACTTTGCCTGTCCTGCCCGGCACTGGAGCAGGTTCTGCGGCTCAGCTGGAGCGCGGGGTAAATTCCTCCAAGCGCACACCCCAGGATGGGGCTCTCACAGCCCTGCCTTGTTTTCTGGAGCCTGGTTTATCTCAGGAGAGCCTCCTCTGTTCTTTCTGCATATCTTTCCTCACAGCCTGCTAAACAAACCACATATGCTCTTTGGTCAACAGCTAATTAACCCAGTCACGTACAGTTGTCATATTCAATTTCAAGGATGCCTCCCTACCCACCATAGCAAACAAAACCTGGGCAGTTGCCTTGTCTGGCTGCATCCCCATCCCTCCCTCTGATCCCACAGTTTAGATGAGATTTTGATTCAGTTTACTATTCTACAGAGGCAAGAAATGCTGCTGTGCAGGTTTAAGCAGTGAGAGGCTTCTTAAAAGAGGGTTCCTGGCTTCCTTGAAGTAGGTGCCTTAAACACAACTTACCCCAAAAGTTAAAATGTACAGAAAGACTCCAATGCCTTCATGCAACAGCACTGCACTGTCGTACCCGTGTTACCTAGGCCAAGAGCATTGCACAGGCTCTTCCTTCTTCATCTGCTTTTGGGCATGAAGTTGGTCAGTTGGTCTTCTCTGTCCTGCCCCCAGCAGCAGGCTGGCCGGGAGGAGGCTTGTGAGGGCTCCTTCCCCGTTTCCCAGCATCACTGTATCACTCTGAATTTCTGGAGGAGACAGCTGCTCTGGATTTAAGGCTATAAAAATATGTCTTTCACTTGTGTCAACACATGACGAATGGTGCCTTTCCTCTGAATTTGAATATTTTAACAACATTTTTTTAGGTATCTTGCAAATCTAACCTTCCAGCTTTTGAATGGCTGGCTTGTGCTGCCAGAGATCTTCTAAGGCCTTTGCACAGCAAATCTACATATTTGAAATCTCTGGTTTGCCTTTACCTTAATTAATCCCACCTCATCAACCATTCACTGCCAGAAAACGTATCAAAGAAATTGAGTTAATAAATCAAGTTAAGGATCACAGCAAAATTGTGACTGCTTGTTCTTCTGACGTTAAATTTTGTTCGAGCACATGTAGTTATATATGTGCAGTCACATGTGAGCTCCTTTCCTTCACCCTCCAGACTATTTCTGAAAGCAGATTCCATTCATTCTTTTCTCTTAAGATAATTGAGGCTGTTTCCTTAGATGTTTTTCCCCTGTCCTAGAAATACCAATTCTTTCCAGCACAGTGCAAACTTGAAAAGGACAAAATATAAATGTGGGTAAGTCCCTATTCTAACATCAGGTGACAGTAAGCCATGATAAATAAAATACTTTGCACATATTTCAACTGGAGGTTGGTACTGCTGATTCATTTTGTAATCTGGATTAATTCCTCAGTTAAGGACTTGCAGTGACGCATTAGCTCTAGTATGGCCAAATTTATCTGCTGCCATCTTCCTACTGTGATCTGCCTGTTTTAAAACAGTATCCCTGCAAAGCACTCTACAGTTGTGCAGTAAATAATTCTCAGCTTTCGGTTACTTCGCTAATTAACAACAGAAGCCTATGTTTGAACAGTCCTGTTGCAGATAGTTAAGTAGAGACAATTAGCTGTAAATCTGTGGCAAAAGATATTCCTGGGGAGAGGATGTCATAAGCATCAGCTTCAAGGACTTCAACATTTCACTTTACATGAATATGTAAGCACTTGAACATGTCAGCTAACCTAGGGTTCTTACTTTAGGTTGTTTTGATGTAAAACCAACATGTTTTTTATCTTGAGAGAGCTGCTCCCAGCAAAAAGGAGGGAAGAGTTCTAAAGAAACGCTTTCCCACAAGGCTGCCTCTTAAGCCGAAGTCAGCCAGTGAAGTTTACATCTCAAACCTTTCACTTCAATCCCTCCTAAATCGTGCTAATAATAATTCTTAAAAACAGAGCAGTGGGGAAGCTCCTTCAGCACTGCACCCACTCTCTGCTCATCCGGCTAAACCCGACACACGCTTGGTCGGAGTCCAAGACCCTCCCACCACTTCCTCTGGCTTTTCTTTTGAATATAGCAGCAATAAAACACACATCTGAGCATCCTACTTCCACAGTATGTTGTTGTCACATTCTTCACCTTTAAAGAAATTCAACATATGTTTCTCTAATTTTTTTTCTCTATTTATTCTACAAAGTTCCCAGAATAAACTTAAATTATTGATTCTGACAGTTTTCGGTTGGTTTGGGCATTTCACTTGGGTGATTCCCCAAGCTTTGTGAGAGCAAACTCAGCTCAGAGCAGCTGTCTCCTTTCATTGCAAAAATGATTGGTTTCAGATGTAGAATACTGAGGTCCTTTGGCTTTATTTAATTAAAAAAAAATCTTACTCCCTAAACTGAAAAAAATCAAGGCGCATCCCATGTCATGGGACCTTGCTCCACAAATGGCATGTTTCCGGGCGTTTTCCTCACGCATCGTCCCTTTGCTTAGTTAGCTCTTTGGTATGTCCGAACTGGAAGAAAGTGGAGAGCTAAAAGTCCGTTGCAACAAATTGTATTGGCAGCATAATGGGCTAAGTTAAAGCATAATTTACACTGACCGATTTAACAGCTTCCTTTCAGACTTAATAAATGTAAGGTTTAATCAAATGCCAGGCAACTGAAGCAACAACCGTATGAACAGCAACAGAACTGAAACCCCGTCACTCCCCGGTGGAAGAGGCTTTGCTGGTGCTCCTCAGTGGCAGTGACCAATGTCTGTGAGAGTAAAAAGAAAAAACTATTTAAAAAGAAAAAAAAAAAAGCCAAGAAGGAGATTTGGGAACAAATTTCGGCTGGAAAGGCCAGAACAAGGGGAATTGCATCAAGGAAAAAACAAGTTCTCCTCCTAGTCCATCGTAACCTGGATTTTGACCCTACTTTTCATAGTGGCCTCAATGTTGTCTCTTGAAATGACTGCCCTTGGGAGAAGAAAAGGGTTTGGTTGGGGCACTTCTGGGTCATTTCGGGTTTATACCTCACACTTTGGCTGAATTACATATTCTACATATCCGACACCCTTTACAAAAATTATCCACACTTCTTATTTATTAAGGGGATTCCTTCTCTTGTAGTGGAATGACATTTTTAAAGTAAAATTTCAGTTCAGTGAGTCAAAAGAACTTTCTGGTAAAGCTGCAAATATCACCGCCTTCTCTTCAAGATGGTCTAATTTTGCCTTTTTTGTGAGAAGAGTACACTTACATTTACCCACTCTGTACTCTCGTAGTACAAAAAGGTACAGAATTATAATAATGAGTGACAAAATAATAAAATATAATTCAGATATTTGTACCTGGACTAAGAAAACTGTAGATGGGAACCATGCATGGCCTCTTCCTAGATAAATGGCTCTGCGAAGCCGCCTTGGTGGGGCCAGGAGGGTCTGCAAAAGCAGCCAGTGCTGATAACCCACTCTGGGATCACGGAGGTAAAATAACAAACACATGGAGACCTGGAGCAGAAGGATTTAAAATAAGCGACCCAGAAATGGAGACATCACCAAGTGTTTCCTTCCATCTCATCCAGATATAGAGGCTTTTGCAGAGGCAGCTGCGGGGCAGTTCTTGGTCCCAATTTGTGAATTTTAACTTGTTGCCGAATTATTTTAATCCTTTTGAAGTCTTTATTGCATCTAAAATGGTTTCAAATATATATTGAGTTTCTAATGTATATATAACTTGTGCTTAGCAAAAGCTGTGGTTAGGTGATACATAGTTTGGACTTGCAGTTCAAAAACCTCAAACAACCTGTGGTGTTTAAAAATAAACAAGTGAAACTGTCTGAGTTAGCTAATTATTTTTAATTGACAAATTCCCAGTTAAGTGTGGTACAATATAGGGGCTGAAATATTCAAAATAATTAATACTTTTCCAGAAGGGGCTATTTCTGGTTGTAATTTAAGGCTGTAGGTTTTGGGCTGCAGTAAGCATTTTTTCTTCTCCCTCCTGAGTTTCTCTCATTTCCTCCACAAACCCCGTCCCCCACTCTAGCCCCATGCAACTGGCCACGGGAAAACACAGGAACGATTGTCTTTGGTAATTCATAGGCTCTGCCCCAAACCAGAATGCCTTTACATGAACGAGTGTGAATAAATCCTTCCTGAACATCTTCATCTCATTTTTAATAACAGGAAATATTTTCTCTTGTATAAGTATTTCCTAACTTGGTTAACTTCCATAGTTCTCTGTCTGGTTTTCCTGCTTAAGGGAGACTCTGTAAGTTCCACCTCTCCTACATCTCTGGATTTAGGGACATGCAGAGCCACCCGCCTGGGTCAGCGCATCCCCTGCAGCTAGAGAGGTGCTGGGACCTGCTCACCAGCGGCTGCCGTCATCCCAATTCATCTAATTCAGTACCAGGAATTCCGTGTTTGTATTTTCCTGTAGTACAGATCTCTCTCCACCATTTCCATGCCAGCTTGCAGGTTGGGTGTGGAGCAGCTCTTCCCTCCCCCCGGTTCATTTTCCTTCTCCCTCTGATTCCCAGGTAGCGGCGTTGTCTCCTCCCACTCCATGAGTCTCACGCATGGCATGGGAAATGGAATATTCGCCTTCAGTCACACTCACACTTGGAATAAGTCCAGGGAGAAGGTGTTTTTCTTCCCCTGCCCATACTGACTGCAGCAGAGGCAGTTCTGGGTGAAACAGCTTTACTGTTTCACTATTTACTATATTCCCTGATACTCACTGTTACTCACCATCAAACCTGAAAGATCCTTCCCTGCTTGCAGTCGAAAATTGGACGTTTACCCCGGCAGTCACCACCCCCTCATGCACACCCTCTGTCTACCCAAGCATGGATGCAGCATTTAAGCCACCTTCAATGCTGCGAACATGGAAGATGGCAAATGAACACCCATCAGGGAAGACCGAGCTGTATCTCACCTCTGCAGAGGCAGGTGCTTTTTTTCAACCCAAGGTTCCTCACCTACCTCGAAATGTTTACCACCCAGCCTGCAGTGCTGTGCACAAAAAATGTGCTTAAAGGATGAGAATAAACAAATGCATTTGGCTCATGGGAGTAAGACAAGAACTTTGGTTTTATGCTTGAAATGTGCACAGTTAAGTACCCGTTAGAGAAGATTATCACAGACACCCACAGGAACATAATGGCAATCCCTGCTCATTGTGTCTGCAGAAGAAACATAATGGGTGAGGGATTATTCAGGATTATTCAGATTTCTCTTTTAAGACCTCTGACGTGCATTTTCAGGGGGTTTCTCCTTTTTCTTCTGATATTTGCAAGGCTGATTTATTTGTCACCCATCAGCACCGTAATCAGTGCTTTCATTTCCAGCCTTCTGCTGCTGCGCATGTAAAAAAAACCAACCAGAGGTGAAACACTCTTTGCTTATCAGCATTTTATATTCTGTTGGATAATCCTTAACTCAAAGACACGTAGCTTCACAGAGCAGCGTGTGCTCGGCAGCTCCACGGAAGAGCCCGGCTCCGGCTCCATCCCTCGTGCTCACCGTGGAGCGCGCAGGGCGAGCCCCCGTCCCACCAGCATCCCTCTTGCCCGCAGCCGCTCGGTCCTCCGGCTCTCCGGCAGCTCTCCCATAACCCTTCGCGCGGGAGTTTGGCAGAGTTGCTATGACGACCCTGCCCATGCAGCCAGCACCGATCGATCGATCGCAGGTTGGTGTCCATGGGGTGGCATTTGGGGTGGGGGACGGCAGGAGAGCGTGGGCCAAACGAGAGGGTGCTTTGCAAACCGAGCATGTGGGCTTTCCCCATCGTCCGCTCCCATCGCTGCTCTGGCACCCTGCTCTTTCTTGCTAGGGAGGAGCAGCAAAAGGTGCCCTGAGCACCCCGCTCAGAGACACTGCCGTGAGGGCGAGGAGGGGCTGGGGATGGTTCGGCTGCACCGGAGGGTGCCGGCAAGGGGACCCTGGTGCGGGGCGGTGCCGCGGTGCAGGGGTCAATGCAAGGGGTGAACTCACCCCGGGCATTCTCGGGGCTGGGTGATGGTCAGGCAGGGTGCTGCTGTGCCGGCAGAGCTGGTGCGGAGATTACACAACGGGATGTGGTGAGGTGGCAGGCAGGGTGCTGCTGGGGACAGCCAGCAGCCCCTTCTTTACAGTCGGTTGAATTTTCCACCTTACTCTTTATGAAGTTAATATGTACAGCTGGAAAAAAGTATAGTTGTAGCTAAACTGCATTGCTCCGAAGTCCTGTGAAGGGCCAGGGGGGAAAAACTGTACAAACTAAAGCTGAATTTTGCCAGAAACCTGGCAAAACTCTGAGGCGCATAGAGCAGTGTCTAGAGAAGGACGCGGAACTCTGTAAGATCCTCATGCCCAAACGCAGCAGCAGCAGCAGCAGCAGAGACGCATGGGAGCAGCAGCCTCTAGCCGTCAGCGCCAAGACCTGCAGTCGCTGTTGGGAGGCTGCAGCCAGAGCAGCTCTGCACCACCTGCCTCTTGCTGCCAGCCCCTTCCCACCCTTGTAGCAGGTGGCTAAAAACATCCAGGGCAATAAATACCGACTACGTTATCACTTATGCAAAGCTGGCATCACTGTCTTAAATTTGCAAGGGGATTCAGCAAATGAAGGTGGCTTCAGCCAGCCAGCATTACCCTGGGTGCTCCGCATGGGCTGTGCCTCGGAGGGGACCGCGAGCAGACAGTGGGGTGCTGGGGTTGCCCCTGCAGCTGGGAATCCTCCCTGGGATTTTTAAATCCTAAACTTTGAGCTAAAGAAGTGGTCAGACATGGTAATGGGACGGTGATGCTCCCATCTGGTGGGGGCAGCAGGGAGACATCTCTTCTCGGCCATGAGCTGCTCAGAGGTCGCAGCTGGTGTCGGGGTGGATGCACATAGCTGTAGCTTGGCTTTTCCGCTCCGCTAGCAAGGGGAGGACAGACGCGAGCCGGCAACGTGTGGTTTCATGTCCTGCAAACCCCCAGCCGTTGGCAAATATTGGTGAGATCCCCCTCTCCGGGGGCTGCAGCCTTCAAAGACGAGGGAGGAACTTAGCAGCTGTGCTGTATCCCATGTTTGCATTGCAGAAAAACCATCCTCTGCGGCAGGCTGCGACTCCGTCATACCGAGAGACAGATCCTGCCCTCGATGTCCTCAAACCAAGATGCTCCCAGGTGAGTGGCATGGCCAGGGGACTCCAGCTGCCAAGTCCTCCTCTGCCCTCACAGACAACCCCGTCCCCAAAACACCTGCTTCAAGGGTTGGCAATGTGGTCGTCTTCGCCTTCCCACCTCTCCTTGAGGTCGGTGGAGGAGGTACCTGTGTACAACAGCTGAAGGGGGACTGACCAGCCGAGAACTCGCTTTCCAGCCCCTCTCCTCCCACTGCAGCCTGGCAGGAACCCTCGTCCCCTCCCTGGATCCGAGCTCACAATGCAGTGCCCGGGCAGGTCCCCCAGCCCTGCCTGCACACCCCTGGCCCTGCCTGCGCTCCTCCAGACCCGCCTGCATTCCCCAGAGCCCCACGGTAAGGAGCCATGTGGGTCGCGCACTACACAACACAGCTGTGTTTTGGGGAGGAAGGCTCATCCTGGAGACAGAAGTACTCTTTTTAGCAATGATATCCCCCCAAATACCTGCTGAATGACCATTTCCTACAGCTACGTGGAGAACTGAGGATGAACGCTAACTATATTGTCTTAGCTGTAATTTCTAGCTTATATTCCCTAGCAAGGACCCGAAGCACCTTCCTTTCCCCTCTCCTCCCAAGCTCCATGCTTTCCCCCACACTGGGCTCTCTGGCATCCAGAACACAGCAGGAACAGGAGCTCTGCTCTGCCAAGAAGGGAGAGGGGCAGCAAAATCCCTCGGTATGTCTCAGTCCAGCGGATCAGGACAGAAGGGGGAGCCCAGGAGACAGTATCGGAGAGCATCCCACCCCGCCGGGCTCCAGCCAAGCTCTGGATGTTGAAGGCATTCATAGACACTTGCTTTTTGTTTCAATAGCCACCTTTTGGCTTTTCTTTATGGTTTATAGGAGACCACTCTCACCTCTGAGTCCGTGCTGGCGTTCCCGCTGTGCCGAACCGCGAGTCGTTCCATCGGCAATGCCCAGAAATCACCACCACGCCATACTCTGCTGCTGTCCTCTCTGTATTGATGGGCCAAAAGAGTTTCTTCTCCCATCTCTTCCCCCACGCTGATCCTTTCCCTCCAGACCTCTGATACCTGAATCACCATCCCCCCCCAGGGCCCATCATCCCCTGCCTGCTGTTCATGCTTTAAAACCCACGTCACTTCGGAAGCCACCTCCTTGGTGGCTTGTTTGACTGACGAGCGGTTGTCCTGCCCTGGGCAAGTCCGCAACCCTCTTTCCTGGTAGATGGAAACATTGTGGTTTCGACACCTTTTAACAAGACACCTGCAGGACTGGTATTTTTAGCAGTAAAGGAGCCTGAGCTACGTTACTGCTGGAGATATGAAGTGTCCCAGCTCCTGGTGCACCCCAGGGACACCGGCCAACTCTCTGACCTGCTCCACCTTGTGAATGTCTTCCGATGTCCTGAGATATTTCCTAGCAAACAAATAATTTTCTAATTTGCTTAAACGACTGCTCCTGCCTTGCCAGGAGCCTGGCAGGGTTTCGGTTGTACGGAGAAGGGGCTGCCTTTCCCTGTGCTCCTCAAGACCTCTGGCAGGTGCAGAGACCAATGCCCACCACAGACCTGACCTGCTGAGACCTATTTAACGCTTCCTAACAACCCAGGCTATGCTGTGAGCCTATTTTCAGATAGTGCTGGTTTGTACTTCAGTATTTTTAGATACCTTGTGTTTGTTATATCTCTATTTTACCCCTCCAAAGCCAGACATCAATTACTGACTCCAGTGCCTATTAAAGCATAGCTCACAAATAAACTGCTCTGCCAGTACCTGCCTTAGTAATTTCTCTCTCATTTATTGCTGACAATTGTTTGTTTTCCTCTCCAGCCATGAACAACATGCCCATTGTAAAATACCCCAGGGCTACAGAGCCTCTCTGGCATGAATGGGACAGGAAAGCACAGAAATGTGGATTAAGACACACAGTCTATGCTGTAAATGGGGATCAGTATACCGGCGAATGGCTGGACAACTTGAAGCATGGTAAGATACACCATTTTGAGAAAAAGTACCAATTTAGATGTCTTTACAAAAGTTCCTAGGGGCAGGGAGTGGTCAGCGGTTGTATATGCTCCTGGAAGACCATTCATTCATGTATGACTATAGATATATCTATGTTATGCAAAAATGTACTCAGAAATATTCCTGATAGGTAACTTGAAGAGCTTTTGCATGCACTCAGGGGCAATTATCTGATCTATCTAGACAATAGATGTTAAAAAATCCTCTGCAAACACAGCAAACTGCAGTCAGCTCCACGCACCGGGACGTGCCCTGGCTGCACAGTCCCTGGAGCTCTCTCGGCTCCTGACTTGGCTTCAGGAATATTCATTTATCCTCAAGCTGTGGCAGGTGCTGCAGAAGATAGAGCAGAGGAAGAAGACCCTGACCGAGCCCTGAGCAGCCAGAGCAGGACAGGCTTGTTTACAAGCAGTAAACCAGGGTTTGGAAAGATTTAAGTGCATTCAGCAAAGGCCACACAGGAAGCCCCTGATCAAGATTAACGATGGTTCCGACTCAGGAAGCTAAACTGAATCCCAGGCATAAACCTGCCTCGGTGCAGGGAGCACCGCCTCGCCTGGGATGGAGCTGTAGGAAGGCAGCCCCCTAAACCCTTCTCTTAACAACCGCAATGGTCATTCCTCTTCTTCGTTAAACAGGTAAAGGCACCCAGGTATGGAAATGCACCGGAGCTATTTATAGCGGTGACTGGAAGTTTGGGAAGAGGGATGGTTATGGCTCATACAGCATTCCTGACCCTGTAACCAAGGAATACAAGAAGGTGTACACAGGCTGGTGGAAAAATGACCGAAAATGCGTAAGTGAGATTTCCTGTGCATGCCGGTGGTGAGGCGGTGTGCCCCAAAACATGGGGAAGTGTTGGGTGCACACATGCAAAAAGATCACTTAAAATGCTGATTTTTCAAATACTGAGGCTGAATTGAAGGGGTATGGGGAAATGAATGTGTGGAACAAGACAATGAAAGCAAGAGCAAAAGCTCTGGTGTTTAAGCCCTCTCCCCCTGCCCTCCCCAACCTCGCTGCTCCTGCCGTTACTCACTTCTCCACGTCAGATGCTGTAGGAGCTGCACTGTGTCCCACAGCCGGCAGCAGGGAAGGAGCAGCATGACTCCAGGCAGAAGCTACAGGAACAGATATTCCTCCAGGCTTGGGCTCTCTTTAAAACTTAATTTGAACCTGCAGAAAGCCCAGGAAGCTTCAGAAGTAAAAACCCATCATTCATAAAAAGCCAAGCGTGGCCAAGAGTGCCCTGTCACCCACCATCTCCTTGCTGGAGTGGGACTCATGCCACCCATCCACTGGTGACCGGGCTATAGCCCCGACCTCCCACCAGCTGCTGCAGAGCAGCGATCGCTGCTCAGACTCACCTGCAGCTTGGCCAAGCAGGACAAGAGGTTTCATGTCCTGTGTGTTAATCCTCCCTACCCATCCCTTTCATTCCTCTCATCCTTGAAGCAGTCAGAGGAACCTTTATCATAAGCAGTGCAGGAAAATGTACTTTCTTCTGGGAGTTTTACAGCACATTAGACAAGTAACGTGAGTTCTTTTGGAAATTAAGCCTGTCACATAAATCACTGGTTTTTCTAAAAGGAACAAAATGAGGAAGTCATCTGGTGAATATGACTGCAATCTTATGTGCAAAATCCTTGTAGGAACGTTTTCTGATCTGCCAATGGAAACCTTGTGTTCGTTTTTGTGTCTGCTCCTAAATTAAATTAATTTCCTCTTACACTTCTAATAGGCGTGCGGCTCTATGGCTCCAGTCTCTTGGAGGGAGCTTCCCCTCCCGTTCTTTGAGGATATATTTTGCATGATTGGGCTTTGGTGAAAGATTTATAATGACATCCAAATATAACTAGGGTTGTTTTTTTCTCCTACAGAAGTCTTCCCTTTACATCCATGCAGTTTAATAAAATTAATGCTCAGAAAAATCAGTTATTTCCAGAACTGATTTCATTTTTTTTTTCAGAGATAAATTAACGCTTTATTCCTATGGGAAAACTGATTAGTAATATGTAAATATTTCTTACTGCTATCACTCCCCGGAACAGGGGGTACCTCTGGACTTCTCTTAATGGCAAACACACACATAACACCAACACCTCCTGGGATCCCCGGCTTGTACACACGCAGTGGTCTTAATTCAGAAGTTCACCAACCAAACCTGCCAGCAGCATGGAGCCTGAGGAAAGAAAGCAAAGAGTGGAGATGGTTCAACGTCAGAGCCTCACCTGCCCTGCCGGTGTGATGCCTGCTACCCTGGGGAGCCTGGCCCGGTGCCTGGCTGCGGGGAGACACGGGTGGCATTGCAGCCTGCCGGTCTCGCCGCAGGTAGCCTTCAGGGCTGCCTTTAGTTTCTTGTAAAGGAGGAAGGAAGCGAGGCAAGGGGCTGTTTAGGACATTAGCTCTTTGGGGGTATGGATGGAGAAGGCGGCAAAACTGTTTCCGTGGTTAGCATTACTTAGAGATCTTTGGTCTGCCCAGGGGCAAGGGAAGGAGATGCCCAGCCTGGGACATGCTGGGCTGTAGGAAGCATCGTCAGGGTTGAAAGGCATAAAATCCCCACATTGAGAGACAGGTCTTGTTTATGCTGCCTATTCCCAGGCAGCTTTATATTCTAGTAAAACCTGCTTTTAGCTAAACATTAGCGGCAGTCATGCCAATAATAACATACTGAGATATAAACCTGAGGTTTTGTCGTGGGAACAAAATCATTTGCCAAAAAAAATCCCGTACCACCACCTCTTGTTTCCTCCAACACAAGAACGGCCACTGAGCTGGGCTGCCAGCAGCCACGTATAAGAGTAATAAGCAAAGGAATAGTGTCTCAAGAAAGTAATGTCCCAAAATTGAACATGGACACCTTTCAATACAGAGGCTCCTAACCGGCCATCTCTGTGCTGCTCTCCAGGGCTATGGGGTGACATTTTACGCCAGCAGGAAGCGCTACGAGGGCGAGTGGAGCGGTGGGCTGCGGAGCGGCTGGGGACGGATGTACTACCCAGATGGCTCCATCTACGAGGGGCAGTGGCTGGAGAACAAGCCCAACGGGCAGGGGATGCTGCGGCTGCGTAAGTACCGGTCACCCTCGCCCAATGTGCCTGCCTGCCCCCTTCAAGGTATTTGGTGTTGTGCTGCTTTCCAGATGCCTCTGCTGTCCAGATTTCTGGATGCTACATCGCATCTCCTGCACAGCCTTGTGGCAGGGTTGCGGCTGCTCCCCTGCGTCATCCCTCCCCTCCTGATTTGGTGTTGGAGGAAGCACAGGCTGTGCAAGGGCCGGCGTTGTGCTGCTCAAGCCCACACGCAGGATAGCTTATTTTTGCTGTGATTTACATTTAAATGACTGAGATGGTTAGGGTTAGAGATAATATACTGTTGGGTCAGAGAAGAGCAAATCTCTCTTTTCAAGCCAGGCACTTTGCCAGACATACTTTCCAACTGCTGCATACCAAAGAGGAGTCCACTTTCCAGCACAGGAAAAAAAAAAGAAAAAAAAAAAAAGAGAAGTTTTCATTTTGAGTTCACTCCATCCCCTCTCTTACTTCTGACACTGGCTCACGTTGAGTGAACACAGGGGTTTCATTAGTACACAATCCCGTCCCAGAAATAACACCGAGCACATAATGAATTGGGAATGTTGGGGGCAATCTCAGCATAAAAATAGAAATTTGGAAATTTTTTTTCCCTTATTTTGCTTGGAGTTTAACACATTTTTCCCCAAAGCCAAGAATCCCAATCCTTTGCAATACAAGGCCCTGCATTCCAGGAACACTTGAAGAAATATTATCTCCATATTATTATTCATGTCTTCTATTTTTTTTGCTTGGAAATGATCTCAAGGCTAGAAATTAGCTAAGCAAAGCAGCAGGGAGGAACGAGCACGACCTTCACTGCACATCACATGCACGACTGCGCTCTCTCTGCTGACTGTAAAGTCACTCTGGACAGATGGTTCATCCAGATGAAATCAGCACCCGCTTCCAGGGGTAACTCCTTCCACTGATCTGCTTCACTCCTGTCAAAGTCACCCTTGGTGTTATAAACTGACGGCCCCTGTGGGCCGAGACACGGCCGACACACCATTTCAGAGCCCAGTTGCCTCCAGCATAGCCTGCAACCGATTGCGAGCTGGATTCCTTTTGGTTAAAATTAGCCAGAGCAATTATTTCATACCCACAAGCTTAATGTATTCAGCTCAGCCACTGGAAGTGTGCCCACATGCCAGCAGCTTTGCGATGGTGAAAGAAAAGGAGTTCTTCAGCGGAGGTCACGATGAGCTGCAGCTCAAGATTAAATTGCTTGTAGTGGCAGCATGCCCGGTGAGGGTGAGCTCGGCTGGGAGCACCGCGCCGATTTGCCGCCTCTGCTACAGCCCGTTGCCGAACGGCTTTTAAACCAGTGCATTGCATGTCTGCAGAGATCTTGGCTGCGAGCAACACAGCCTCTCAGATGCTGCGGGAGGAGAGCGGATGGGAGCAGCCGGGCGCCGCCGTGCAGCCAGGGCATTCGATGGCTCCTCCATCACAGCCGGGTCTGTGATTTTGGTGGTTTCTGAGTTGTCAGTGGCTGAAGAGCAGAAGCTGAGCTGCTCCCAGCAGTGGACAGAGCAGGTCAGCATTGCAGATAAGCACACCACCAGATGAAAGCTGAAGATAACCACAGACAAGGCTCCAACCTGTAAACCAGACCCTGCCTGAAGAGCCCAGCAGCCACGCTCCCCAGAAGCATTTTTGTTTTTTCCCTCTTGCCTTACAGCATTCTGGCAATCCCCAGCTCTCTCTGCAGCACTGTGCGGGGTACCCTGGTGCTTCAGCCATCTCCTGCCATGAAGAATGGCAGAGTTCAGCTAAGAATTAAAGATATTTCCACTAAGTAACTTGGTCAGAAATCTCCATGGTTTTTGGCTTAGAAACACTGTATGTAGGAAAAGAGGACAGCAGAGGATTCCCCCAGTGAGAGCAGGGTGGCCTGGATGTATCCCAGCCCCAACATCACTGTGGGTATGATACCCCTTCTGAACCAGTGTCCCTGGACGAGGCTGCTCTCTTCCCCTTGCAGCTCTGCTTTCCCTGTTGGTGATGGATGGATGGATGGATTCCTGGAGAGCAGCAGAGCACCCAAAAAAACCTCTCTCAACTTGCAGAAAAACACCAAGAGATGCAGTACAGCTGGAAAAACAGTCTGCAACTGATTGCCTGAAACATTCAGACACTCACAGAAATTCTTGCCCTGTAATTCATTGAGGAAAAACATAACTACAAGTATTATCTGAAATCAATATTATTTTGGCTGGACAACAATCAGACAGTGCAGCTGTTCCTTGCCCAGACAAGCAAACCTCTTCAAGCCAGAGATTCTGTGTGATTTGTTGTAGTGACAAATCCAACACGTGTCCTATAATTTTTCATGTTGTGAAGAGTGACTCACTGACTAGTCCCTTACCCCAAGCTCACTTGCTCCACTGATAAAAATTAATGTCACCGTGAGAAGAACAAAGCAGGTGAATGCAGTTCTTGTTCCAAGTGGGCAAGCGTGGGCTCCTTCCACAGCCTTTTCTCCCTCTGCGGCACAGCAAATGGAGCACTGCGAAAGCAAAATGACACACCGTGCCGCAGCCCTTGTGAAATTAATAAGAGGAGCCAAAGAAATTATTTCCTCTTCTGTCCATTTGCTGTGTTGATCGGTTTCATTTGTAGCCCCTTAACGAAACAGTGCAAATTTCATGATCTGTTCATGTATTTAATTGCAGCAAATGAAAATCGGTATGAAGGAGGTTGGAAAGGTGGAAAGAAGCATGGCCCAGGGAAATTTTTCTACTTGGATAAGGGACAGTTGTTTGAAGGTATCTGGGCAGCAGATATACCAAAATGTGGAATTCTGATTGACTTTGGCAGAGATGAAGCTCCTTCCCCTACTCAGTATCCAATCCCAAAGGTAATCGCTTGGAAATTTGGGGTTTGCTAGTGATGTTTGCATTCATCAGTGCTCGGGGAAGCTCTCCAGGTAGCATTTCCCTCTTCAGGCGATTTCCCCCATGGGGTTCCCAGCTCACAGGGTGTGTGCTCAGAGTCTTTTGGCCAGCAGTGTCCTCAACAGCCCCATAGGGACCAAAGGCCCATCAAGCCACTGCTGGAGCCTCTTAATTGCCTACATCTGAAAAAATGCAGTTCTCATGCACCAAAACTGCTTAGAGACCTGAAGCAGCACAAAGGAAATGGGGACAATAGAGGCAGAGACAATAGTGGGATTTGCGTCAAAATCAAATGATTTCGCCAAGCCAAACTGCTGAAGCTGACTAGAACTTACTGAAACCCAAGCAGCTGCAGAGCTAAGATCCGCTATTTCCTTTACCTGGGCACTGTCCAGGGGCTCATTTGTGTCCAGCAGGATAGAGGGACATGCATATAGCAGGTGGGTGTCTGAGAGCCAACATCCTCCGCTCCCCTTTTCCCTTAAGGTCAACACAGGCTGTGGAGGAAGAGCCAGTCCCTGTCCCCGTCCCCCCCCAAAGACTCGGCAAGATGCACGAAGGGGCACACAGACACCCTGGGCCGTCAGCCTGGCAGCTGCCGTGTCCTTGCACATCACTTTGACACAGGAGCCGGAGGACAGGAGAGCCTATCCCCCTCTCCGTGTCCTCAGAGGAGGGCAGGGAACAGGGACCAGTAGGGAAGAGACGTGGCTCCAAGTGAAACAGCTGGCCAAAAGAGTCTCAGCCCAAATCCCCATGGTCTGCACACGTGAAACACAAAGACATTGCACTTCCAAGGGACGGTGACTGCAGGATACGGGTGGGGAAGCTCTTCTTTGCTTAGAGCCTAGGAGAACCTCACGGGATAACCACAGCACAATGCTTTACTCCCGAACACAGGGAACAGCACGGCCCTGTGGCAGGTAAAGCTACCTACCTTCCTCCTCTGCTCCAGGGACAAGGTTGTTGCAAATGATACTGAGCACACACAGCCTACCGAAGCGAACAGCTGTTACATCTTTGCTTCCCTTATTTTTTTCAAATCTGGTTTCTGTAGCAAGGGCTCTTTGAGCACAGCCATTTTTGACAAGCCAGTTAATCCTGTAAGTACTAGGCACCCACGGCAGTGCAGAATAATAAACACCAAATACTCAGCAGGGAAAAACAATCTCTATTTTGCAAAAAGCGTGAAAGGAGCAGTACTTCTGAAGCTAAAAATATTTACCTTACAAGGTTTATCAAAGGTCACCTGAGAACAGCCTCCTCAACAACCCAGCCCAACAGCCTGGGATGAACTGCCACTTCACTAAGGCAGGATGTTCAAGCCTGGCTGTTTATTTAACTCCCTGAAGACCAAGTTATGACCCAATTTTCTTCTGCTCTATGGGCAAAAAGAAAGCATCAACTTTCACTGACATTATTGTGCTTTCCATCAGAAGAGATTTATTGATCTCAGAATATGAGGGAAAGAACAGATAAAAGGAGAAAAATTGACTTCAGATTTTCATAAACCTTCTGTCAAATTACTGCTGCAAACAGCTGTTAAGAGAAAAGTAGATGACAGGTGAGCATTAGAAATTGCCAAAGCCAGGCAACTAAATAGTCAGCTTTTGCCTGGCAAGAGGCTAACAGCGAGGATCCAAGCTTCTGCATGGGAGAAGCATCACTGTCTGTCTTCATTAGCAGTTAAAAGGAACAAACGGTGGGGATGCACAGGACAGAAAATGTCTGAAAACTAGAGACCAACTGTCATAAGCTTTGAAGGAATCCAGTACGTAGATGAAGGGGTTGCATCAAGGCAGAATTTGAACATACCTGCAGAGATGGGGAAAGACACAACACAGTGGACTTGGGATATCTGCTGTTACAATTATTGAAGCCAAGGCTTCAGAAAGCGTAACAAAATAAATGAGAAAAAGACTGGATGTCTTCTGCCTGGAAGAACACACACATGAACCCCCCAGAAAGCATCAGGACATAAAGCAGGTCAGAGATGACAAGTTCCTGGCAGGGCTTTGGCTCTTCCTGCTCAAGAATCTGTGTCCAGTTGCAGGCAGGTTACATGACTCCAGACTCCTGCTTTCATGTGACCTTTAACGCTCACTTGGGTGACTGCATTTACTCACCTTTTAAAACTATAGGTGAGACTCGACAGGCTACAAATCAAAGCCAGTTTTGTCTAAGAATGTGTTTTGTTAAAGGGGAAACAGTCCACTCCACACAGAGCTATTTCAAGGAGATGAAGCAATGTTCAATATGCTAATAAAATTAGGAAAGTGTAGCAATGTTTCTAAAACAGTAATTGAAAGGCTGCAATACAAACTAAAGTCCTGATACCTGAGAGCTTCTCTTTTAATGCTCGAGTAATCAAGATCTATAAAACCTTAAGCTTCTTCAATTACACTGCATAACTGATTTGTATTCTTTTTATTTAGATTGAACTAGCTGATCCAGATGGTGTTTTAGCAGAGGCCCAGGCGATGTTTGATGACAGCCAAAATTAATAACCGGATGCTGAAGAAAAAAAAAAGATGCAAGATAACATGATCCTGGGTTACTTATTGAGTCTCAAATCCACAGTGATGTATCGTGTCATGGTCTGCCTCACGTTTCCGTCAAGGCTGCCCATGTATGCTTCATTCTGCAGGTGGCTTTGCTCAGAAGCCTCCTTCCACCCCACCCTCCCCTTATTTTGGAAAAGAAAGGAAAAAAAAAAGGCAGCGGGGGGAGGGAGAAGAGAGAAAAACCACAAGCAGCAAAACACTGCAAGCCAGAGTGAGCCTTTGCCCAGCTCCTCTGACTTATTCCTCCTGTAAAGAAATCGCACTCCTGTTGGTTTCAAGGTCTTTCACGTTGCCATAGAGAAGAAGCAGGGTTTCTATTACACGCTATAAAAGTAAAGCCCTAGAAAAGTACAGCCAAATAATTGCCCCCTTCCACCCACCCCCAAATTTAGTCCAGTACATACCTGTGACCCAAGATGGCTTTTGAAGTTATAACAGATCATGTTTCAATTTTTGTATTAATACTTTACTTGCCCTCTCCATGCATTTTCCATAACATGACACTGGTTCTCCTCCCTAACCTGCGACAATGCAGAGCACCAGACCTCACCCCAGCTCTGCTCCTCGGCCAGCCCACGTGCTGGACTCCCAGCACTCAATGGCACTGCGTGTTTCTACCCAATGCCATGGACCATGCGCCAAACACGCAGAGCTACGGCAGTTCTGATCTGCGACGTGCTGCTGAACATCTCCCATAAGACCGAAGGAAGGTGACACTGCAGCTGGCTGGTGAAAAACAAACTGTGGATGAGCGGGTTGTTAGTTCACCTGATTAATACCGTGCTTCCAAGCCATCGCCTCTTGTTTATACAGTTCATTCGATCCCTTGACTCTTCATGTTTTCTAGGCTGAAAGATAACCTACATTTCTATTTAAGCACTTGGAGAGAATAACAAAACAACATGCTTAGTCCCAAGATTTAAGGAGTGCTGACAGGAGGGAAAGCATGTCAACTACATTATATTCTTTACACCTGTCTGGATGAACAGGAAGTTTTATCTTTATATGACTGAAATGAGTAACTGAACATATTTAAGAGATCCTCAGAAACACACAGTTAGGATTAGCACAGTCTAGCTGAAGAGATAAGGGATAGAGAAAATAAGCATATTTTAGGCCTCTAGATAACAAATAATCAGCAACAATTGAGTATATTTTATTTCATTGAAGTATTTTATATCTAAAAAAGTGATATACAATAACCAATGTTTAAAATGCTTGAGGTGAATGCATAATACCATTAGTATAAATAAGGGCTAAAAAAAAATTTCTAAGTGCACTCTTAAGGTTTAGATCTAGTTACTGCCTCTGGCACACAGTTACGAGGCTGTGCCCACGGTGTAACTTTCATGACCGTGGAAACGGCTGGAAAATGAGAGAAACATATTCGATATCATGGCTTAAAGTGCAGAAAATAGTCAGAAAAACAGCTGTAGTAACAGCACCATTAGCTCAGAACCTACCAGCTTGAGAAAGTTAAAAATAAGGTTGTCCCACTAGCTTCTAATTCTGTATTTCTTAAACAAAACCAAAAACCCCACACTTCTCTGTCACTTTGTAAAAGATCCACAAAATAAAGAGAAATTCAGCTACTTATCCAGGACAGCAAGTAATCTTACAAAATAAACTTGGAAAATCTATTTTCTGGGCTTCCATTCAAAATAACATTGTAATGTTTAAATACACAATTTATGGACAGAAGCATAATCTTTAAGCCTGACAGCACCCTTTTAACCATTTGCTCTAGTGTGAATATTGAGTCAGGTTTTCTTCCTTTACTGAGGGTTTTTAAAAGTCTTCTTTCCTCAAGACAGGACTAGTATTCCAGTAAAGGATGAGAAAATATATTTTGTGCCTACTACTAAGATTTCATGTTTTGGAATGCTGCTTCATTCCTTCCAGTGCTCCATGAATGAACACCTGTGGGACTGCAGTCACAATTCTCACCATCAGCAGATTTACATCAGTAACAGAATATATTTGAAGCATAATGTAATGGCAGAGCTAGAGAAAATCCAGTTTGGCCTCTGTACACCAGAAGGACTTGTGAAAAGGGCAAGTGGAAAGCTGTTTTCTGCTTGTGAACCGAGAATGCTGCTGCAAAAAAAGCCCAGCAGGTTTTTTTACAGTTATTTTTCAGCATACAAACACACCACGGGTAACCTTGTCAACACTTTCCACTGCGGTGGTGCTGACATGAGAAATCAGTCCCATTCGCTTCATGAGGCTGCTTCAGTAGTAAACACACTCTGCCACTCTAACTCTGTAGACACATCCTACAGTTTGTAAATATGTCAGGATAACCTGAGATGGAGGTTGGCCGTGAGAGACCATGTTCAGCCCAGGCTCAGGCAGGTACAGCTCCACTGTATTGTCACGTTCATTCCTCTCTAATTTCAAAATCCCAGGTTTCTTTTCCACAGTGTTAGCTACGATAGGGAGGTCAAGTTTTGTTCCATTAGACTTGAAACCTGCCTCAGTTTGTGTTCAAAAAACAGCTTTTACCCAGTAAAGCCCAAAGCTGCTCTGTAGAAGAACTGCATTCGAAAAAAATTCCACTTCTAGACATAGCTAGAATTACTGAAGCAGCCCAGGACAACTGCTGCAATCTTTCTTGGACAAACATCTTATCTAAGAGACCAAATGGAAGTTTTTGTTTAAAGAGGAAATTAAAAAACGACGCAGTAGCCTCGCTGTCACAGACATGTGTCTGAAAGTAAGCAGCAATATTAATTACAAATAACCTCCTTTCATAAATAAATATACATAGAGAAAAGTAGTCTTCCAGATCCTTTGGAAGCAAAAATGTGTAACAAGTTATCAAACACAACACTTCAGCAAGAAGACGACTTTTTCTAAACAAGGAAGACCAAGGCATAGCTAATTACTTGGGAATCCAACGCAGAGAAAGCACCTTTTGCTGCTTGTATCTGAGGATTTATTAAAAATATATATTTAATATAAAAGTATAAAATAATTACTACTTTGGTTTGGAAAAAAACAGCAGTGGTTCTGATTATCAAGCAAAAAAATTATCCAGTGATAATCTCCATCTAGTTCCTTCTTTTCAAAAAAAGATTCCTAAATGGGAAACAGGCAAGTCTATCTCTCCAGATAATATGTGCCGGCTCGTGAGAACTTTAAAACAGTTATTGCTTTTATTTTCTTCCAAGGAAGAGTAGAGTAGAGTCTCATTCCTACTCATGTGGCCATACCACATCGCAGTAAGACTAGTCATGGATGTTTAGCAAGTTATAAAATGTGTAACTGCCACGGGAAAAAGGCGCTGAAGAAATCAGTAAAGTAATAATTACTTGGCAGCAAAACATACTGGGGAAAGTAGTGGGAAAGCTTTCACTTCTACCATCTGTCAGGCTTTCTAAAGAGAACAGCACTAGCACTGAAACCAAGTGCTAATTGCTGCATATCCCAAGTAATTTGTATCATGCCATGCAATATGGATCGGACAAGCAGTATCTTCTAGTAAATGCCAACATCAAATAAAGAGAGGAGAAAAAAAAAAAGCTTCTCTACCCATCTCTAACAAATACCCAAATTTACAATGTTATCTTCCATGTATTATACAGCCACCATTCAGCATTAAAAAGAAGCAATCTAGACAGTGTTCACAAGAGGGATACATATGCAGTGCAAGCATACCCCACCATCCATTCCTGCAGATGTCAGATAGCCAAAATTTTATGAAAGGAACATTTTTTTTTCCTCTCTAAAGGGTTAGAACAACAATCATAATCTCTCCTTAAACAATAATCAACAGCTCAACCAGTTCATCCACAGGGGAGTCAATCTAACATGGCAGAAGCAGAATAGTGGGTTTATTTTCTTTAAGCACAGGTTTATGCAAAATGGGTAACAGCTGAGGAGATAGTATCACCTCTGTGATCCAGCTGATCCTGGAGCCGTGCAAACTCAGCAAGTTCATTCAGTTCTTGAAACTGCCTGTCTGTTTTATGGCTCACCAGTGACCTGTAGAAGTGGACTGCAAACACAATGAAAATCAATCCAAAGGGAACCATAATAGACGTTGATGCAATGGCTGCTGCCTGTCCTGATGTGATGGTAGAACTGTTGCCCTGGAGTGGATTATCAGTTTTCTTCTTTAAAGGAAGAAACTTCACCCAGCACAGTAGCACCACCTCTGCCAGAAAGAGCAAAGTCCCAATGACAGTAGAAAATGCCCACGCAAGCTCAATGTGCCGATGCATACGCTCATGAGGAGATTCCTTTACAGAGTTGAGATTATGCACATTGCTAACAGCCTCTATATTTGGAAGAATGCAGGTACTTATCATGAGTGCAAAAAGGTGAACTGCAACAAGGACAGTAGTACAGGCACTGAAGGCTATCAAGAGACCTTGAGGGTAGTCATGTTCTATATCTAGCTGAACTTCTACCATAGCCACCTGAAAAGGAAAGAAAAGAGAGATGCAATTACCTACATTACATATTATTTGACTATAGACTATTTTAAGTTTAAATCCTGTTTCCAGAAGATCATCTGGTCCAGACAAAATAATAGCTTGCATTTAAATTTCTCTTCATGTCAATCTGTGCTTTTTTCATTAGGTCCAAATTTAGGTCTGAGCACAGGCCACTATTTTCATACTTACTGTTCTGTTGTAGAGCAAACCATCAGTATGCATAAAAGCTCTTAACAGCATAACCACCTTGCCACCTCCAGCTTATTCCAAGAAAACAGCTGAACTTTTAGAGTCCAAGTATGTTGATCACAAAGTGAAACATTTCTTCTTTCCTGGGTTATATTGTAAAGGCAACTTTTGATCTTTCACTATAGATTATAAATTTTGCTGGGTATTAGGAAATGTTTTGTGCCCCATACTTATGTAGAATGAATACTGTACGAAGTATTTTGAAGTAGGTATAAGATGAAAGCCTGCGAAGGCAGCAGACTGTCCATCACAATTTTGGTGGTCTTTTCTCCTTGGATTTTTTTTTTTTTTTTTTTTTTTTTAATTTCTAAAGAGCCCAAGGCTTTCATTTGGAAGGTCACCTTTCCATGGGGCTCTCAACTATATTCTTTCACTCAAAATAATTATTTAAGCAGACTCTAGAATGCAGATCCAAAACATCAAAGTCTCCACAATGTCCATGGCAGCCAAACAGGCCTGTTCAAGGCTGGAGGAAAGACAAACAGTTGTCTCCCAGAAAAGATAACATAGAATGCTCCCAGATAGCACTAGCTACTCTTACTCTGGAAGCTGTCTAGCCTCATCTCTGGGAAGGCAGTGCTATCTCATGAAGATGCTCCAAGGTCCAGTCTTCCACTATTGTATGCAGCCACGCCCTTTTATAAACTTAGATCTCCAAGCATGCCTGTGCTTAAGGAGCAGAAATTAGCATTAAATAACAGCAGGAGGAAACTCATAAACCCAGCTCAAATATTTTTGACAAAGAAAATTAACTAGAATGCCTTTTAACAGTTTTTTAAAACTGTCAGGTGGTTTCATGCATGTGCAATTGATAAGCGACATTAATCCCAGCAGCCCTCTTGAAAAGTAATCTTTCCTGATAAATTTGCCTTTCAGACAAAGCGCAGTTCTGAAGAGGGAATAATGCAACAACGCCTCTGTTTAGTGCTGTTTCTCAAAGGATCTCATTAGACAAAATATGCTTAAAATACAGAGAAAAAAAGCTAATGGCAATCTTAAACATAGACACGTGCACCATAGAAGGAAGATGTAGAAGCTGCCATTCAGCACAGTTCAGACTGATCCACACCAGCCCTTGCTGCACCTTGGCTGCCCAGTTTTGATCCTTCGTTGAAATGACTCAACTTGCTAGCCCAGCAAAAGCTAACCTGGTTAAGAAGTGGTAATCTGCTAGTTTAGTAAGCTGAGCTGTTTCTGCAATGCCTCTGATGAACAATGAAGCTGGCACAGGCCCATGTAACTGAGGAGAAAGCAGTTGTACCAGGACCTTAGACTCTTGGCAGCACTAAACCATGAGCGTAGCTCTCCTGTAACATACCAGTTTGCCATCAAAAAGACCAAGAAATCAGGTCGTACAATGCAATGCCTAAAACAAATCAGCTCTTTTGAGTCCCATCAGTACAGGTTTAGCCCATTACCACATGCCATTATTAATGGTTTGGACATTACTCAGCTTATAGCATATGTTTCATACACCCCAATTCTCATCAAGCTGATATGAAGAAATTTTCACAAAGTATGGATGCTGGGAGACATAGAAACCAGTACCCAAAGACAGCTGCAAAAACAGTAAGAATATTCAAACCTCACTATTTTGCAAGAGCTGAGCCAAGCTACACCTAGTCTGGGATCCCATCTTTTTACACTCCCAGAACCAGCATGTTCCAGGACACCAGAACTCTTAACTGCTAACACACCAAATATTAAGACAACCAAGAGTTTTGCTCAGACATGTTTCAACAGGCATTCAAGGCCATTTGCCAATATTTTAATTCCTTTATTGAAGGCTTTTATCGTCATAAGCTGAACCACCCAGACAACTAGCAAACAGTTTCCAAACGTTACAAGAAACTCAAGAAGAAATTACATTAATGCATATACAATTCTTGCCTGAAGATTTAAAAATACCATTTCCCAACCGTGGGAAACTTCACATTTGAGAGGATAAATATTTGGTCGTTGGATCTGTCTTCTGCAGGATTGTTTGTTAAGTCCCAATGCACTCGTAGCATGTTGGGCTTCCTGTGTTTTTCACAGAACAATGAATCCTTCACCACTGAGGATTCATTTCCATACTTATCAGATTTTTTTTCTTGTAAATTTTCTGGTGTATGTCTAGACTCAAAACCATCCAGCATCACAAGACATTTTAGTCCTCTATCCTGGTACTTATTATGTTAACATAACCATGACACTGTTATAGTAACTCACAGAATGAACTCACAAAGTTGGCAAAACTTAACAAACTTTGAAATAATTGGTATGAAGAAACGCATTACCATGGAGATGCTGCTAGGTGATCATGTAAACTTAAGATAAGTAGAGAGTTAGAATATGTGCAGTATGTAGAACCGAGAACATCTTAATCATTAGGAATAGATAACGGTAGATTTAGTCAATGCTGGACAAGAATCAAGTAAAGACCCTGTCCTTGCCTTACCTTGCTTCATTTTAATACTAAAATCAACACCCACTTGTTGATAATGAGTATGTAAATGTGAGACCACCTAGTATAATGAACTGGACAAGAGCATGCCATGCTCAAAAGATCTTTTTATTATATAAGTCTGTGTAGCCTATCACAATTTTTGCTGTATGTGTTCCCTGGTAACAAAATTGTATAAAAACCTTAACCTTTCTTTCTAAAGGCGTGCAGGTATTTGGAGACCTGGCACCCTATACTGCAGTATAGCAATAAAGACAAATATCTCGACTCAATGTGTTGATTGGCTTATTGCACACCGGGTAAAAGAACCCAACTTTCAGGGCAAAAACACTATTGAAGACATTTTATATTTCCATTAATCAATGTCTCCATGTAATAATGGTATCAAGCATCTGATTTTAAACGTCAGTCAGACTCTCTTAATTCCAATGTACCAGCTGTCCTGGAGCTACTGTTCTCTTCCCATTTCAAGAGAGTACCAAGAAGAAATCTTTTCTTCCTCTTCTTAGCCTAGCCTGAGCTAAAAAGAAATGCTAAATAATTACATTTAATCTAAATGTACCTATTTCTGATTTGGCTATAATTACATGCAAGATCAAAACAAAATCTTGCAAGACACCAACTTAATTTAAGTAGTATTCAGGTACTCGGATAGCTCTGTGCCTCGATAACCACTGACAGAATCATATGGACAACTAACTATTAAAAGGAAACGCCCAGACCAGGAATCCAAGTTTTCCTGGGTCAAAAAGACTTCATTTTAATATTGCTAGGTGTTTCCCTAAAAGAGTGACCCCAGGAGTACCTACAACCATTATACACTGATGGGATAGCTTAAACCCGCATTCCAGCTACACAAGCAAGGCTTCAGTTCACACGGCTGACAAATACACTAATACAGACCTGCTTTGCACAGGAAGCTTGTTGTGTAGGTAGGTCCCAAATCATCTCTCAGAAGAAGAGTTTCCTGAAAATCAGCGAGACTGCAGTTGTTACTTCAGACTTGCCACAATTTACCCCACGAGCAGGAAGGGTGTGACTTCCTTCAAGTCAAACCATACCACGCAATTACTTACTGTAATTCCAAGTGTACTCTCTCTATAAGAATAATTATGGGTAGCATCAACATCACTTGAAAGGTAACCTAAGTACTAGTCTTCTAACATGCAAAATAAGCTGGCAGCCGAGTAGCCACCACCATACACACTGCCAATTATTCCCAGTTTGGGATGCTAACAATGTGCAAATAAGGCAGAAGCAGGGCAGTCGGCCATCCCAACCTTGAAGCCTTGTATACACCCTCGCTATATAGCTGAAAGCTACGGGAGGGAAGGCCACGCATTGCAAAGCGCCAAGGAGAGGGCAAGCTCCCAAAGGAGACTTCAGGACCTCCTCTCCACAGCTGGAACAAAAGGGAAGAGTACTAGCTGCATCAACTGCTGGGCCAGAAAAGATCTTACACCAAAGTAAATAACAGAAATGCTAAAAGGAAGAAAATATCCACCTGCTTTGAGATAAAGCACCACAGTTTAGCAGCTTGAGAGACTACAGTGGCTTGAAAAAAAACTTCTATTGATGCTGAAAGAATCACAGCTTTACAGGCTCAGCCCTCCAAAGGATGAGTGTAAGAGACCACCAATTTGAACATTCAGGGTATACTTACAAGACAGACACATTAGGTGCATCTCCACAACACACTGACAACTCTTTGCAGACCACAAATTCTCCAGCAAGGGATTTTGATGTTTTTCTTAAACCGACCAGTGACAAAATGTGATAAAAGCTAGAGGGTATGTGCATAAGAAACAAAAGACACAAGAGTTTCACAGACAGGACAGGAAAAAATGTGCTTACAGGTGTCTCTGTCCAGCATAAGAGAAAATGCATTAAGTTGCAGTTGTAAATGGCACTGGTGTTAGAAACACCCTAAAAGCAGGAGTGGGGGAAGCAAGAAAACACTTCTCTTTCCCATTCATTCAGGATTAATAGATACTTCAGTACTCAATTCAAAGGGAGACTTTTGGGGACGTTGTAGGATGCAGAATGCCTGAAGGATTTCAAAGTCTACTGAAGTTGATGAAAAGTCTCCAGGGGGGCACAGCAAAGCCTCCCTATGTTCACACTTGGCAGTGTAACTCCAGCTTGACCCATAAGTGAAAAAATCAGTTCATGTTTTCTGTCTTCTTAAGCTGTCAAGGAAGCTAATTTGGGAACCTTTTCACTATAAACCAGCAGAAAACTGCCAACTCTTTTCAATTGCAAGCCTCTGTTCTTTACTTCCTGGGCC